AATAATTAAAGTGTCTATTTGAAGCATATTTAAAAACATGAATTTATGTCAAATAATCACTGAATTCTGTGTAGAATTGAGTGAGAAATAGCTATTTTTTGTTTTGTTTACTTTTGTGACAAAAAATGATGAATCATCAAGTGTGACAATACTTATGAAAAAGGCAGTAACAAGGCAGCACCCAAAAAGCACATTCTTGATCTTGAATGCTCTTCTGTGCTCTGTGACAACTCCTCATCAGTTTCAAATGACTTGGAAAAGCAGCTAGTCTATACAGCTGTGTCTATGCAAGAACAAGGGGAGGGGCAGATGATTCTTGTTCACCCACGCAAGGATTGTACCGTGTGGTGGATACTCATGGAAAACATTGATCATTTACGGGTTTGTCATCTCCCCTGTCGCTTCATCCATACTTATTTTACAGGTTAATTTTTTCATTGAGTCACAAAATGTGGCAACGTTTGCCGCCTATATGAGATTTGTCAACAGATTGCAACTAGTAATCTATAGCAAGCTTCTTACCTCTTTGCGTTCTGAGATGGACCCTTCGGAACAGAACGTCACTCCACAGCCCACGGTCAACGCGGGCAAGGGCATTTGCTGGTACGTGTCTCTTCCCTGCAATATAATTACTCGTGAGCAAATGAAAGCTGATATCATTTGTTTGGATTTCTTTCTTTGTATTCCAGGACATGTCGCATTCGTCGAAAAGTAAGCACCCTGAAAAATGATAATCTGCGCGTAATGTCCTCTTTGTATGGGTGCTGACAAATGTGCACAGAAATGCGAACAGCCACGGACGAACAATGGGTGCCGGACATGCATTCGACTTCGTATTGAATGCCTTGGATGGGATCCGAAACCCCCTGCCTGGATGAGCGTAAGTGGTAGCCGTCAGCTCCTCACTCCATCTTGCTGTATCTATTTGTTCCGAGCTCCTGTCTGTCTTTCCTGAGACATGTTCTGTACGCCACGGAACTCGGAACTGAGTTTTGTCGTTGTCTATACAGAGCAAAGGAACCGTTAAAGCCTACAGAAAACACATCAGAGAGGTGATAGCCAAGACAGAGATGGTCGGCGCCCTGCTCCAGCCCTTGCAAGGAGGAGGAGTTTCGCAGTCTTCAACGGTGCCTCTCGACTCCTCGACGCCATCTGGTCCTTCGGGCTCTCATAACACAACAACATACGCCCCTTCCCTCATAATGCCTCACCCATCGGCACTTCACCTACCTCCGCCCAACCACCAAGCCCTCAATATATTCTCCCTTGCTCTCGACACTCCTGACCCGACATCTACAATAGACCCCGCTCCTGCCGCCAACAGCAGCGGCATGCTCCAGACCCCCTACGCGAGCTCACATAGCGTCAGCTCCTGCGAAGACAGCCAATCTCCGCTCACCCCTCCTGTCTCTGACTCTGCCTCGAGCGCATCATGGCGCCCGACACTGTCACCCGACATCTTGTCCCTATCACTGTCCTTAGAGCCAACCCTCGAGAACAACATGCTGATTGGACACCCCGAGAACGTGCTTAGTATGCAGAACCCTTCGGAACAGAACATCCCTCCACAGCCCACAGTTGACACAGGCAACAGGGACCACAACGGCTCAGTACTCATGAACAAGTACTACAGGAAGAGTCCAGAACAAGTTGCAGCATTGAAGGAGCTCTATGCAAGAAATGCCGAACCGTCAACTGTAGAGAAAATAGTATTAGCACTTAAAATCGGATTGTAAGTTTGTCATTTTTGGCTCATCACTGATCACTGCTATGTCAAATTTAGGGATCTTGAACGTGTTTCAATGTGGTTCAGAGCTCAGTGCAAGGAGTTGAAGCATGAACAAAACGCTAATAACTGTAATGGCTCAGTACCCGTGACCAAGTTTTTTGCAGCAACAGTAGAGAGGGAGTCACACCAAATTGAAGCTTTGGAGAAGGCTTTTGCAAGAAACCCAAACCCGTCCATTGAAGAACGAGGTGTAATAGCACTTGAAATTGGAATGTATGTTTGTCTATTCATTTGTTGTTACTGATCCCTACTATATTGAATTAGGAATGCTATCCATGTTTCGAACTGGTTTCAAAAGGAACGTCACAGAAGCAAGTCTCGCATACCAGGTGCTGTTGTGAGAAAAACCATGTTCCAAACTGAAGCTTTGGAGAAGGCCTTTGCAAGAAACACAATGCTGTCAAGGGCAGAGAAAGACACACTGGCACATGAAATCAAACTGTATGTTTTCCCTGTTCTTTGTAACTGCTGAGCTCTACCATGTCAATTAGCCACCCTGCCCAAGTACACAACTGGTTTACCAATAGGCGTGTTGCATTGAAGCATGTGCAAAAAGCCAATAACAAGGATAGCAACAAGTGTATCGACTACAACAACAGTGAAACAGAGCATATGGAACTAGACTGATACTAACTTTATTACAATCGGAGATACAGAGACAATTGGACCTTGCACTGTCATTAGACTCACTTGCTACACACTCACGCTCGCGCTCACAATGAACTTGTTGTCGCATATTACGTAATGTAATCAAACTTTGATCGCTTCAAGTATTGATAGCCTGTTAAAGGAATTTTTACATAAGCATTCAAAGTTTGTGATGGCTGACACGTTTCTTTGATGCTATATCATAGCCAGTACCGATGCGACCGGAGATCCCAATTTCCCCTCAAGAGTTGTCTCCTTCCTGCCCTCGTATCTCCCATCTTCTTCTTGTTCTCTGCACTCATGGCCCTGCTGTCCTTTTCTTTGAGCTTTTAGTAAACAGTCTTTATACACCTTGGAACACACGGTCTTCGCTACACACGATGTTCTCGGATGCCCAGCACCGAACCCGAAACGACCGTGAGCGCTGTAAAGTCCGGTGTTCCTTGCCTTCGGAACAATGACTATAAAGACAAGCCTCGCAGCTCCCTTCATTGACCCTCCCTCTCGACCTCAACACCCACCACTGCCTGCGTTCGTCGTTCGTCGTTCGTCGTTCTGCAAAATGATTCCGCTATTCCTTGCATCATTTCATTCCACTCGCGTACCATACCTTCTGGGGTATCCCGGTCGCTTGTTACGCCTGGCTGGAGTGGGCTAACAGGCAACGCCATCAGCCTGCTGTACGCCGTGCCGTCCACGAGGTGACCTTTAGGCCCGGGCGAATATTCGAAATGGTATTAACTTCAACAGCCCGTTCGACGACTAGAGTAGATAACTAACTCAGTCAACTTAGCTTTTCCTCATTTTTCACTGTCTTTCGGCTTATAGTCGAGTCTACCAGGTCCTTACGAAGTCGCAAACTGCGGTAGTGGCCGTCACTCACAAGTACTCCTCAATCTCCGCCTGTCTTCTGCAATTGAGATGACGTCTCAGGCCTTACTCATTGATGCCACGCTGACGGCACCAGCACGCGTATAAGGAGATGCTGGCAAGAAGCGTCTATATCGTCCCGAGTCTCGTATTTTGTTTTTCCTGCCTGCTCGGTGGCGCTCCGTATGGCGCTCTGAATGGGCAAACGACGTCGCGCCCAGCTACTCAGCGCTTCCCCATATACCCTTTCCAGCAAGGGTCAGGCCCAGGAACCGATGCGAAATTCCCCGTGCTGATCATCCAGCCCCTAACATTTGCTGAAGCATTTCCACATTTCTTCAGCTCGGTAAGCAACTCTATCATATATTTCTTGACAATTCTATAAATTTAACTTTCGGCGCCTATTTATACTAATTATAGTACAAAAACAATAAGTCAACAGCAATTGGTGAAGATCTGCATACAGAAGGGGGTATACAATATATTTCCTAGGTGAAGCACCATACATGATCTTCACAACAATACATTAAATTAATATACTTCTCTTTAGCTTTGGGAACTTGTCCGATGAATAACAAGAAATATTAACGTGAAGGACGAAAGTGAAGTAGGCCACTAAAAGTCGTGAGCATTTATCATTTTAGCTCTTATAAATTCTTTGGTCATCCGTTTATGCGGTATGCTTGTAGTCGTGGAGGGGAAATACCGTGCGAGGGTAATTTCTTGAGGAACTCGTTGAGGAATTCATTGTTTCGAGCATCGTGCCCATCGGAATCCTTGATACGTCACGTGATATCCCGAGGATCAGCTCCGACCATCAAGCAATTCTGATGCATTGACGAGACCTGTAAATGGTCCACACGTGAATAACTGCAGGGAAGGGTATACATGTAAAGCGAAACCAAGTTACATTTTATTGTTGCTCTGAACGTTCGTTCACATGACTCATTTCAGGGTCTGTACCTACGTTTTGCTGCATCGAACCCTGCTGCGGTAGTCTCTCGGAAGCAAAACCATACTGCATCGACATGACGCTATTATCGAAATAATACTGGACGTTGGGGTCAACTAGGGAAGGATCTGACAATGGGTCCGGGTATCCTCCACTTGGCGACGAACTCGGCCTACTCGGTGCTGGTGCGGTTGCTGTCGTAGACGGCGGTCGACTCGGGACTGTGTAAGATGAACTGGAAGAGGATCCGAGCAGCGAGTCGTCACCAGCAATCATTAACGGTGATCCGCTGACATTCGGAACACCAGTCATTGTGGGCATTCCAGGCACCGTAAGCCCGGCCGGCGTCATATTCGGTATGCTTCCTAAAGCTGGGCTTACTCCGCCAAAAACATCGCCAGGGAAATCAAGCAGTGGAGAATGAGTGTTCTGGCCTGACGGAGTTACGCTGTAAGGTACACCAAGAGGACTGTGCCCCGAGATGTACGGCGAGTTTCCATGGGACGATGACGAGCTACCTGTATAACAAATGGTACGTGAGTTTCCGAATGTAACTTGAATAAAATGAGATCGAGATGACGAGGTATGAACGTGGAGACGTGAAACAGAATACGGGCAAAATGACAAATGAGCCCAATAAGACCGTAGGAAATGGACTAGAAAGGATAGGGCAAGAAGGCATGTGGGCAAACGAGATATGAGATCTGATGACTGATGACTCTGGAACACATGTTCCGAACAGGCATTCCCATGGATCACCGTCGAAGCCAAAGCAAGGCCTTGGAGCTGCTTAAGCAAGCACCGACGTCTGAATACAAATGGCCAGGGGGGCATTGGTAGGCCGCAGTTGTGACTATTGCGTGAAGGAATGAGAATGGGGTCGAAATGAGCGCAGCAGCTCCGCAGAGTCAGGACGAGACGACCGAATTGAAATTCGGTATAGCCCCCACTGTGCAACTCTCAATCGAAACGCAATGTCGGGCATTAGTCCATCCGTGCATTTGCAGAAGGTGACGGTGTCAGCAATGTCTCGGCAATGACGACGTCTCGAATAAGCTTCGGAGAAAACGCATCCCAGAAAGGCAAGTCGCAGATAAACAGCCTGAAGGGTCGGCAAGGCGCACTGTCACAGCACCAGATGACCTTACACTGCACTGCGCAGATTGCGGCAAAAATGGAGGAATCCCCGCACCCCTTGGCCTGCGAATATGCGACGAGAAATGACGGGAATGTGGGGGAGAATTTGGGGGAAGCTTTGCCAGGATGCTGATGGTGGGAAATTGCAAATGGCCGGCTTGGAGTCTAGATGCCGATGGGAAGCCCAAATAGGAAGCCCGAGAATGAATGGTTGTGGCATAGTCCTGCTGGCTATCAGAATCGGCCAGAGCCTGTCTCCGCGTCCCGACGCCTCGAAGACATCGACGCTATGGCTTGCGAATCTCATGCTGCAATCATCCGACTGAAACGGAGGTCTATCCCGTCGCTCCACAAGCGAGAGTGACAAGTCCGATTGCTCTCAGGGACGAACCCGCACACATGCAGCAGGCAGGATATTGATCGAATGCAGTGCATCATTACGCCGTGAGGCCGTGCTGACGATGCACTGCGGCAGCGCAAAGGTGCAAACATAGTCGCTGTCAATTAATGGGTGGGCAATGCTCGCCAGGTCCCGATGACATCGTCACCAACTCCAGGACGCAATTAGATCGAAAGAAGGTACCAGGCTAGGGTCGCCCCGTCGCGAGAGTCGGAGGGAAGACGCGTGGCGAGATGAACTGATCGAACCGTGTGTGATCGCGGTTCTCGAAGAGTAGCAGCAACCTTCATATCAGGCGATTGGGAAACGCAAAGCCAATCCAAACAAACGGCTTTCAAAGTCCGCCCGTAGAATGCAGACTCGTTTGGGGACAAACAGGAGCCGCGTTCGGTCGAATGTGAAAGAAACGCGAAAATAAGATTTTTGCCTTACGGCATAGCAATGCCAACGCAACAAGATGGTGACCAGGTCGTTTTGATGCCAGGGAATGCCAGCCCGAGAGTTCCAGAGTCAAACAGACGGATATATCAAGATGTGGAACAATTGCCGCCGAGATCGAAGGATCACGAAAGACATTAAGCTCAAAACGAGAAATATTGAATCTTACCTTGGAGTGATGGAGAAGTTGTATACGCAAGACTGTGGCGCCTGTTCTCAAGCTGTTGAGTGTTCCGCTGATGGGGAAGCGTGACTCCGATGCTAGAGCGTCTCGAGAGGTGAGGCTGGTGTTGGCCGTATTCGTGCTCGCCCTGGTTGGGAAAACCGAGGTAGTCAAAGTCTGCGCCCATGACCGAGGGTGCCTGCGGAATACGCGACGCGTGATGCGCTGCGAAGTGGGGTGAAGAGAAGCCGGGTAGTCTATGTGGAGACGGGTAGGGACCATATCGCACACTATGAGACTGTGCCGATTGGTGAACATAATGCGGTTGGTTCAATTCAAAGCCCAAGCCATTGCCACCGGGCATTGGACCACCCATGACACCAAAGGCACCCATGGGCCCAATGGAGCCCATGCTTCCGAGTCCGCCAAAGGCGGCAGGACCAGACATTGAGCGTGAAGCCATATGAGGTTGGTTATATTGCATATGCGTTGAAGGACCAGATGGCGTCGAGGAGCCAGAAGGCAGCGTTGAAGACCGCGAAACTCCTCCTTGCGAGAGCCGGGGCTGGCCGCGGACCATTCCCGCCTTGATGAGCTTCTCTTTGATGCCTGCCTTGTAGGCTTCAACAGCTTGTTTGTCCTGTATAAGCAAAGACGAAAATCAGTTCTGAGTTCCGCGGCATACAGATTACGTCTCGGGAAGGACATAGAGCGGGGCTCGGAACGAATAGAGACAGCGAGATGGAGTAAAGAGCTGACGGCTCTCTAATCCATGAGCTGATCAAGTTCATACGAGCACAAAGGGGGGAGGGGGTTATTAAAGACGCGTCCAAAGGACAGTCACTTACGCGCATCCAGGCAGGGCGTTTCGGACCCCATCCAAGGCAATCGATTCGAAGACGAATACACGTCTGGCACGCGTTGTTTGTCCGTTGCTCGTCGCATTTCTGTTCACGTTTGTCAGCACTCATACAAAGAGGACATTACGCGCAGATTATCATTTTTCAGGGTGCTTACTTTGCGACGAATGCGACACGTCCTGGAGTACAAAGAAAGAAATTCAAATAAATGATATCAGCATACACTTTGCTTACAAGTGATTATATTGCAGGGAAGAGACACGTACCAACAACCGCCCTTGCCCGTGTTGACCGTGGGCTGTGGAGAGACGTTCTGTTCCGAAGGGTTCTGCATACTAAGCACGACCTCAGGGTGTCTGACCGGTGCGTTGTTCTCGAGCTTCGGCTCGGGGGAAAACTTGCGTTCGGTATCGGGTGCACAGAGATTGGAGTCACCCTCGCTCACTGTCGCGTTCGCGGAGTGAGATAGTGATAGAGACTGGATGTTGGGCGACGGTGTTGGGCGCGGTGACGCGCTCGAGGCAGAGTCAGAGACAGGAGGAGTAAGCGGGGATGGGCTGTCTTCGCAGGAGCTGACGCTATGTGAGCTGGCGTAGGGGGTCTGGAGCATGCCGCTGCTGTTGGCGGCAGGAGCGGGGTCTATAGTTGATGTCGGGTTAGGAGCGTCGAGAGCAAGGGAGAATATATTAAGGGCTTGGTGGTTGGGCGGAGGTAGGTGAAGTGCCGATGGGTGAGGCATTATGAGGGAAGGGGCGTATGTTGTTGTGTTTTGAGGAGAGCTGGAGGTTAGGATGGACCGACCGAGTGTGGGTGGGTGTAAGAGCGATAATATAAGGGCTGCAAGGGAAACAGACAGACGGTTGGATCGAGATCTGAGAGGCTGCGTCGATTGCTTCGGACTCAGCTATTTAGCGTTCGCCATCAATGTCCGCCTTGCGCTTCCGGCTGTCACGCGTGAGACAAATAAGGCACACATTCGTAATCTCCGTCTTTGCTGGATTATTCAGCAACAATCCCCCATCAAACCTAGTTCCCGCACTATTTTGCATTATTATTTCATTCATTACAATTAAGAACTGCCTGCCATCACTTCGACTACTAATACAGCAATGCCACAAACAAAGCAAGAAGGGGTGCATATGTAAACGATTCGCATCTATGCAAAACAAGTCGGCAAATTAACAGATTCTCAAACTCACAGTTACACTCAGTCACAGGTCAGTCGTCATATCTTCCTACTCATACCAGGAGAATGGGCACTCCGCCGCCGTGTTCCTTTAGAACGTCTCGCCAGTTCACGTCATCCACGTGCTCCACGGGCCGACGTCCGCTTCGCCGCTTCTGCGCATTGTACGCGGCATCCCGACGCTGCCAAACAATTTCCATCACCTCCACGACAGACGTGCAATTACCCGCTCCACCCTCGCAATCCAATACTTTCCTGAACGCGTCCCTTTCTGTGCGATCATCGGTCATGCAGCCTGCAAGGCAAATTGGAAACACAACGCTTCGCACTACGGACCGCCTCAAGGGCTTCGGATCATTGGGGACGCGCATCAGAGCATTAAGCGTTTCGCTAACTCCTTCCCTGATCTCCCGCACACTCGGCTTGTCCCCGCTCAAAACAGTGTGCAAATAAAGTCGCGCCGACGCACGGAAGATGTCTGCAGTAAGCCGCCTTCTATTCTCGAGTGAATCAGCCATTGCACCCGACCGTTCTTGAGAGGTGTTCGATCCAGTCCTGGAGATCGCCTGCAAGTATCGCCCTTCGATGTCGAATCCCCGTCTGACTAGCTCAACGGAGCTCAGTGTTTGGTGTTTCGTCTCCTCGTCTTTCCAGGCCGCGAGCGCTGATATTTCGGCGAGTGCCAAGAACGTCAAGTTGTCGCAGCCCATTACTTCGAGCATTGAGAATTCCGGTTCCATCGCTGGTGTCACGCCGTCCACCTCGACAATCTGCGCGCCATCTGTAGGTGCAAACAGCTTGCGATATACCTCTAAGAACTTGGGCGCAGAAACAGTCGTCACGCTCCCAAGTACCTCAAACCACATTGTGGTCCGCACTATGAAACTACCAAGCTCGTCTTCCCGCTTCATGCATGTCAGCTCATGAAGCAGGTATGCATCACCCAAGCGGCGGCAGTGCCCAATCACAGCGTTTACCCAGGAGCAAGCAACATTAAGGAAGAATTGCCAGCCACCAGTCCCACCTGCGAACAGGAACGAACTGATGCACTGCAATCCTGCCATAGCCTCGGCCTTTGTGAGTTTGTCCGTCCCTGCTCGATCAAGTGCATGCTTAGTTCGGTTATGATAAGCATTGTCGTCATCTCCTTCCGGTGCATCTCCCGCGCCCGCAGTAATGACGCGGCGCGGCGGGGAAGGCGGTGAGTTGCCCCGCAATCCCATGCTCCCCTCGCGCATGCGTCTTTTGTGGACACTCGCAACGGAGCAAATCGCGTTCCGCACCGCTTCATTGTCGATCGCGAGATTTCGGAGAAGATCGACTAAGCGCTCATCCCAGAAGAAGTACTGCACGGGGCGCACATGGTGCAAGTAGTGTTCGACAAGCAATCCGTCACCACGATCGACGAATAGAGGGTCCATTAGCGCCGGTTGCAGCGGCTGCGCGACGGCATAATGTTGGTACATGGCTTGTTGCTGCTCGGGTGGTTGCGCAGAAAAGTCTAGCTCGCTGATAGGCGCCTGCGATTGTGCGTAATAAGGCATTAAAGCGCCCCCTCCGACACCGTTAACGGCAATTCCATTCATCTGCGTATGCTGAGCTTGGAAGGTAGAATCCAATTCATTTACACCGAAGTCATCTGACATATAATTGAAGTTGTACAGCGAACCAAACGAGCTGCACATATTTGGCGGTGGAAGATCTGTCCTGCGCACTGTCGGCGACGCATCTGGGAAATGCAAAGTGCCGCTGTCATTCGAATTGTTCCCGTGGATCGAGGCGTATGACGCCTGCAGCTGCACTTGTGCCTGATTGTGTTGCAGTTGTGGTTGAAATAAGTGCCCCTGGGGTCGCTGATGGCCACCTAATCGCACATGATCGTCCCCTGCCCCTGCAACAGCGTATCAAGAAAATAAAAAATAAAATGACAGCAATTTCATAGCAATAAGGCAAGAAAATGCGCGTACGCGATATAGTACCATATGAGAGGTCGGAGCAGGATTAGGAGCGGGATGAATTATTCCACAAGAAATGTCGCGATTCAAGGTACCGAGAGTCCGTAATTCCGATCCAATCCAACCCGCGCCGACCGAGAATAAACAAATACAACATAAAAATGGGGGGAAAACTACATGAGTGCTCACTACATAACTGAATAGTTGCCCTGACTCTTACATGAAGCCGTCTGCCCGTGCCCGTGATCATGACCGTAATTATGCATGCTTTGTCCACTGCCGCCATGCCCACTTTGGCGTCCTTGCGTAGAATGCACATTAAACTGCCCTGGAAGGTGATACGCCACGCTCACACTCGGCTGACCATGCCCCTGCTCGCTCATCTGCACGGGTGTTGAGTAAGTCCCCCCTATAATGGGATCCGGACGATAAGTGGGTGGAGGCGAGTCAGGAGAAAGTTGGGGCGCATGGTACGACGGGTTGACGACTGCAGCATTATTGTGCGCATTCATTCCATGCACATACACCATGGAAGTGGACCCGGCATTACCATGGTATGCAGACGGGTTTGGGAATACAGACGGTGAGTGATCCGTTGATGCATTAAAGGTGTCGTTGATATATACATTCATGGAATCACCAGCGGGTTCACGTTTAAAGTTGGAGTGAGCGTTTGCAGTGGGGGTTGCGCATCGATCGTTAGTCAGGTTCCGTGAGTGCGACAGTGGTCCACGGTAGGTTGTGGACGAGCATGCATGAAATTGAAAATTGTGGTCGATGTCCAAGTCCACAATGTCCGGTTCAGTTTTCACATGAACAGTTGGGTCATGTTTGGCATTATAGTTGGAGACATGAGCATGTGCCGAAGTAGGTTGGGAAGGCATATAGTGTTCCGATGCCCAGCGTTGGTCCATGTCACCAAATGAAAACCCGAGTAGGTCAAGGTCAGAGCGTGGGGATATCCAACCAGTATCAGACCCAGATGATGAAGCGAGAGCCGGAGTCGATGCAGCAGCAGGTTTGGTGGGGATCCAGTCCATACCGACGTCAGTATTAATAGGTGTATGGGCAAGTGCGGGAAGCGAAGGAAGCGGCGTGTAGGGTGTATAGGGTGTGTTTCGTGTTGGCATTGGAGGGGAAGATGCAGTAGAAGATGACGAGCCACATAAAGGGGATGCCACATCCCAGGTGTTTGAGATTGAGTTCGTGTTGGATGAAATACCACGATAGTAGGAAGGGACCATATAAGGACCAGTCGCAGTCGTCGAAGAAGTCGAAGCCGTGGAGAAGCGTGATGGCGTATCAGAATATGGACCCGGCAGATGGCGACCATGCCCAGATGTTTGAGCAATCGCAGTCGAAGAATAGGGGTGATTAATACAGGGAGTATTTGAGAAAGATCCGTGACCTAGTAAATCAGTTGTTCGGCGGTGGCACAAAGTAGCATAAGTGGACCTACGCGTACTGTCGTGCCCATCGGCACTGAAGGGACCCATTGAGTCGTCCATCGTAATGAGGCCGAGTCCATGTTGTGAGTAGTCTGTCCCACTGTTGCCACCGTGCGATGGACGACGTGGATGGCGCGAGGCAGGATTATGCGTAGGAATTCGAGAAGGAATAGGGCGTCCGTCTGAGAGGTGGAGCACGCCGGAGGGGGAGGTTGGAAGCTGGTCCAGACCGGCATGACGCGATCCGAATTCTGTGCCGTTCATTAACGAGTCATAGCGCGGTCTAGTCGATACGTGAGCGTAGCCAGGAGAGAACGATCGGTCTTGTATGTAGGGGTTTGAGGTGACATGGGAACCGGCTGTGGTAGGTGGAGATGCGCTGCCGCGCTCCGGGGTAAGCGTCGACGTCGGAGACAGAGGTGTATTTAGCTCCTCAGATGCACCTGGCGCGACGTTGTGTAGCGGCGGGAGTGAAACAGAAGTTCTAGGAGCCGAACTTGTACTTGCTCCTGGGGCGGATTCGGCACCAGGGGAGCGCAATGCACCAGAGGCGGAGTGGCCTTTAATCATACCGTTCTGAGCGAGGAAGCCCTTGATTTTGCTTCGCAACTCTGCTACACTGTTGCCCTCCTATGCAAGATGACACTGAGGATATGCAGGACATTCCGTGAAGGAAGGAGGACTTACGCGCATCCACTCAGGACGTTTTGCACCAAAGCCTAGGCATTGGAGGCGAAGACGAACACAGGTCTGGCACTGGCCATCTGCGTCCGGTTTCTCGTCACATTTCTATGACGCGTCGATGAGCTCCACGACGTGTGAAGATGAAGAGACTTGAATATATGCGCACTTTCCGGCGAATTCTGCAGGTGTAGCAGCCGCTTTTCGCGCGAACTGCACCCTTTGGCTTCGAGCTGTGCCGTTTGGGAGGGGTACTTGCAGAGCCAGCAGACATGGTCCAAGTACAGCGGAGGTCGGCGACAGACGAAATAAGCAAGACAGTCAAGAAAATAAGACAAGTTGCTGATGTCGAACGCAGCAGGGATGAGGACAAGAGTGGTGCTAGGAGAGAGCGGAGGGGAAAGCGCGATCGGCCGGAGAACGGGGAAGAGACGGCAGGTTTAAATAACAGAGGCGCTGAGGTTATGAACGGACGCCCGAGGTTATGATCTACAGGACCCCAGTCACCCTATTTATGTTTCTATTGACGCCCGATGTCAGCGGAGGACGGAAGTAAATATTCGATATCTCGAGAACCACACTTTTGCTCCTATACCCGAATTGGATATATGTGCACATATGCACCCACAATTTGTCGTTTTATTCGCCTCTCCTTTGTCCTCTTTGTTCCTGTCGTCGTGACAGAACTTACCTCATCGTTAGATTCACCATCCCTCGATCCTCAACCTCCCCGTGTGTTTCTTCCCTGACGCGACGGATCAGTTTCTTCATCAGAGCCCTTCCTATACTCCTCGACTCTCCAGACGTGCACATGCATGCTCTCTCCGCTCCCTTTCTTCTCGTCTAATAGTCAATGTCATTTCATTTCCGAGTAACCATCCCGTTTCACATCTGGGATTCAAGATATCAGACATCAAGCGTCAGAAGCAGCGGTGCCTCGTGATGGAGGCAGCCCGGTTTCCCGACATGTACGTTACCACCACCACAGTCCTAGGCGCACGCTATGGAGAATTTGTACTTTGTCTTATTCTCCACAGTCTCTACCATTCACCGGCCGATCCGGCCGATCACCTGGTTTTTCTCCGCCACTCCAAATGTAATTCTCGCCTATCCATGCCTTCCTGACTATCGATATCAATGCATGCTCATTCACAACGTTCTTCGACAATGCTGTGTCCTCTGCTACATAAGAACTCATCGATTGGCACGCAGGCTCTCTATGCCAAGTTGTTGACTTGTTGCTGCTGTCATCTCCGTGGACAATTCCGAATCGGCTCCTGAGTCTAGGGTTGCAATGAACCTTGTCCTTGGTTGGATTTTCTTCGATAGCAAGCATCTCTCCGTGTTTGATTCGATTCGACAGTAGGACACGGTCAACCACCCCTTCAGACAAATTGAACAAGATGAGGGGGACGTCGCAAGTAGCCAACGCCCTGTTGTTCTCGTCGGAGACCGGGACCCGTCTCCAACTTACGTTAATGCGATATACTCCATATGCAGCGTTGGCCAATTCGTGTACACGCAGTGGCCTCGCTCGCTCGCGCACCCGTCACCCTGGATTTATTTTTGCTTCACTGCCCTTTATCTTCACGTGCCCGGATTCCCGATCTTTTGGGTTCAGGTAGGCAACGAACTCGCTCAGACAGCACTGGCCTTCGGCGAAGCCAGAGTCGGAATAGAACGTGCAGCTGACTGCGGTCACCTTGGTCGTTCCCTTTTCCCTACAGACTCCTACTTGTGCTCTACTGCTCGGCTAATACACTAGTCGTCCCAGCGGCGTACATTTCTCCTCCGAAGGAAGACGTGCGCTTCGTGCTTCTAGGACATGCATGTTCCGGAAGGTCATCTTCTCTCGTTCTTCAGTGTGCACTGCCAATTGGATATTGGGGTAAGGTCATTGTTAACAATGTTAAAGAACGCAGAATCCACATTCCGATCGAGCGAACCGCATGGTCTATGTCAATACCACCAATGCCAGCATCGAATTCGAAACAATAAAGGCCTAGCAATTTCCACACGCGCTTGTTCCGAGATTATCATCCCCATCGCCGAACCATACTCATCTTTCGCCTCTCGTCTCTCACCTCAATTCCCATATTCGGCCCCCCAAACGAAGTGCGATAGCATCATGATATCAAGTTCCAATACACCGATGTCCCGACCTAGATTTTCTCTCTTTCTTCCATTTCGTTTTTAGGTTTCGATGGAGATCATTGTTCAAAGTTAAGCCGCTGTATGTGGCACTGTACGTGACCAGCTTTCGATCTGTTCTCAACGTTGGCCGTGCAAGGGCCTTTCGATCACTGATTCTCTCACTTTCTGTCTCGAACTTTGTCTTTGCTCCGTTCTCATGCGCCTCGGACGTCGGAGATTAGTTGCGCTGTTGCGCTGTTGGCGACTGAATATCGCAACTAACGCAAGGATACATCGGACACCACAAGAGTACAAAAGGAAAAATAGAAGAATTGCGAGCGCTATGTGAGATCGGCGAGCGCTCAATACTCACATTGCCACATGCGTTATCACTTTTGTGTGTCCCGCAGAAATTGCCATGTACAGATTCTAACAATGGCCGTAGTGGACGAAGGAAAAACTGTTTCATTGAAGAATTGTGTATACCTCCGCGTGGAGGACTCTTCTAACAGACTAACACTGCAAATCAGATCGCACCGCATGCTATGGACCTACGCAGCGCCACGAAACTCGCATCTTAGAAACGATGGTCCACCAAATACATATGATACGATTCTGATCCTCTACCAAGTGCGGAGAGTCAGGATCACCCATTGGCTTTCAATGATCATGATAACCGAGGACAAAATGCACAATCCATCACCTCCATCGCCACACATCATTATTCTACACACCAGAGCAGCTTTGTTTTACAATTCCATCACTCTGATCACACAGTATACTGATTTAATAGAGGCGTATCAGCTCTAGGCTATCCTACATCAAAAATCGGCGAGAATGCATTTTGCAATGTACGTCATTTTCATACAACATATAGTAATCCTTGTTTGTGTCCACAATGCCGCTTGATTCGCGAGGTGTGGCTGAGGAGAAGCGGACAAAAGCGAGGTACAATCAGCAGCCATGGAGATGGATAAGTTGGGCATAACTCCAGAAAGTAGCTTAGTGTCATCTCGAGATACTCCTAGGTTCGACCATCGCCAAAGTATGAATTTGAGTTCCATTCGATTTGGTAAAACCTGAGATGACCGATAAATTCATGGATGAGGCGGTTCAGCAAAGCAGGTTCCTCTAAACGCATTAATGCGATGTTTCGCGATCACATCGACAAGGTATTTGAAAATATTCTATGTGTCTTTTTATCATTACGGAAGGGGGCCTGATTCATGACAGATCTGTCACGCCAGTCGTTTCTCGGTTCAAGTGCAAGCACTGAAAAGGAATCAACGAACCCACAAGCATGCACATTTTAGCTATGCTACATCTTTCCTTTTATGCAAGAGCCGTTTCCGTCTCCGCTTCGAACTTGTCCGTTCTCGTGTGGACCACGCGTTGGAGGTCGTTTGACCAATTGGTCGACACCATCTGAGAATCTGCGCAAGGGACTCCAGACACCAGTAATTAATAAATATTACATAAGCTAATAATTAGGTTCCGGGGAGGCATCTCAGTTTTATCACGTGGGTCTGCTCTGCTATATCAAGTAAATCCCGAGCGTGGCTGTGTCCTTGCCTCAAGGATTGGGCGGTGCTACCTACGCTCAAGTCGCGTTGCTGTCGTGAGGACGTGGGTCAATTGTTCCTGCACGGCACTGTACGAAGTCCCGCATAATGCTGTGAGGACCCTCCTCATAGCATTTCTGGATGAATCTTCTGCGACAATCCGTATTTAGGACAATGAAGGTGCCCTTCACTTCAAATTCGTGATTTGCTGTGGACTCTGGTCCCTCGAATCGACCTTGAATCGGCTAACGATAGCACTGTCTTACGAACCTCCCGTCTCGTACGAAGAAACTCACAGTAGGAGATTCCGATAAGGACTTCTGGAAGTTCTTGAAGTGTCTCGACTCGGACCGCAAAGGCAAAGATTGTAGGTATTAGGATAGTCGGAACGCGATTACACCAACCAACCACGACTCCTGAAAGGACTCGATTGCGATGTGGGATCACCCGATGGCATGCAGAAACATGCTTGCTCCTATTGGGGTCGTTTACGTGACGGTGCTGGTGAGCACATCCACGCGTTCCAACACGTTGATTCTTCGCGTTTCAACTGCAACATTATCAGTACAGTAAACTCCCCCTTCTCGCCCCACTTTCTGCTGGTGGTTCTTCTTCTGATTTTGATGATACGCGTGCACGCAGCGTGAAAACAAAATAAGGTAGGACAAGTACTATGTACAGTGAGGATCGCTCAATTCGCTCCTCGGTCTCCTGCTCTCATCTATATTCGGCGCTTCCCTTCTCGGGCGCCAAGTGGCCGGATGCCTTCGTGGTGCCAAATCCGGCATGGGGGCTGGAACTTACGCAACGTATTCCGACCTACCGCAAGGAACTCGTGAATGTCCGAGTCACTCACGACCCCTTCCTCCCTGGTGTCCACTGTTCGATGAAACATTTCTATCCATCTAATCGCCTATTCACCCTCATCTCACAATATCGCCTGCATGTCTTACAGGCGATGAGGCGATATTAAATTGGTCTGTGCCAAGCGAAACAAACGTACGTTTATGAAAAGTATTGAATTCACAGGATATTTACTGATCATTCAGATTAATTAAAGATAGATTTAAACAGTTACGCAGGTGTTGTCATATTAGGAGCGGCGTTGACATAGGTATGCGAGATACGGTTTTCCATGCTTGGTACTGCGATTCTTCTGCTTCTTTGTTTACTAGTAGAGAGAAGAAAGATGTGCGGGGTGGAGCACGCCACTTATGAGTACAGAACAAGAAACAGACAAGTTGCTCGATGGTTCTTACCTGCCTACAAACCCTACACGCCTCGCCAAAGTGTCGTTTATGAACTGTGTCTGGGGGCACAAACTATGCTCCCTATTCATAGTTCTTCCTCCGCGCTTCAAGGGGCTGATGCAACGAGGCGGAGTGCATCACGAAACGTCGGCAATTGCCTATTCAAGTAGTGCATCAAACTCAGTGACGAAGCCATTGAGAAGTCATCAGACCGTCAGTCGCCGAGTCGTCCGTCATATGAGTCTTCAACTCGGCGGTCACAATTCTAGTTCTGGACTTCATGCGCAGTCCTTAAAGTATGCCCTTTAAGGATACCAGATTCTCACCGCATGAATAGCCCACTTGGTCAATCTTCTTCCGAACCTCAGAGGAATGCCCAATGATCCCCTTGCTTCGGCTAGAACCTTCTTGGATACTAAGGTTGAACTAAGAATACACTCATACTAGTACAGCTCCTTTTCCGTGTCTTGCTTCCGAGCATTGAAGGATGATCTAAAACATCAGATAACAATCGGAAGAATCGTGGAAAAGATGCAGGTCAACACCAAAATGTACTTGTAGGATCCTGATGATGATGGTTGTGGCTGTGGTTCCATTTCTGCCGTCAAAGATGTGGCTAAGGAACAGAGTTGTGGTGTGAGTCCAGACGATTCGTTCGAAACAAGGAAGAGCTGAGAAACGAAATACGAGTCTTTCGATTCATTTTAGTCTAAACGAAGCTTATTCTACACATCTCTGCTAGAAATTTGAACCGTTTCATTGACGTTACCTCACCTCATAAACAACCCTCATTTACTCTACCCCCATACCCGTCCTGCTTCTCTTCCTTCATACGATTGCTATTACCCAACATAGGCCCCGTCGAGCCATCAATTAAAATCGAAGAAGCTCAATCAGCAAATCCATCAAGTTTCGAGATGAAAAGAAGCATCAAAAACAACATGAATCCCTTACCTTACGACCACAACAAAATTCATTACACATGGAATTTCCATTCATTTTCACATTCATCATATAGAGGCCTCAACGTGTGTGCACAGCGTGCAAACTCGTCCAGAAAGGGCAGTCGCCTGTATCTGTTTCTTCTCCATTTCTATCAGAGATGCGTAAAACTCGCCGAAAGAAGAGCTCTGCATTTCCATGTAATAATCTCGATCGCGTACAGTACAGCGACACCACCTCTGTAGAGCTCTGTGATTTAATTCACAAACGACGCAAAAAAAGAAGGATGAACCAATCTTAATCCTTCCGCGGAAACCGGCTAATTCGCAACGTGCCGGCCAAATCGCGATCTCCACCGACTTGGGAGGACTATTCTATTCTGTTTAGTAATTTATATCTTTATATGTTATTTCGGAAATTCCTTCTTCTGCTCTAATGGATTTCATCTCAATTTCGTGGGCGTCGAGGAACCAGATAAGTTACGAGCTTAACCGAGCCTAACTCCCGCGATATAGACAGGCGTCCTAATGTCAATTGAATTTTAGAATATACGAAGGAATGAAGGCGTCTAGGACTCCAAGGGGGTCTCAGAGTCAACTGCGGGAAGGTACTAGCAACACTCGTATACTACCCTCACAGCTCACAGATACTGGCAGCTGCTGTACTAGGTTTACGTATATCCGCACCAATACTCACTACTGTCTGCCAGCACGTTCCCCACAGAAATGCGGATAATCATGTCAAGTGCAACACCAGTCTTTTCTGCCAAATGCCTTGCCGTACGGGTGGTGGAGCATATATCGTACCTGCTTGCTTCCGCGTTGTGCACGTCTATACGACCTTTCCGTACAGGACGAGCTCGAAGACGAAGCCCAAAGTTCTAAACATCTTCTAACGCCCAAACATGCTCTGCTGAACACCACCCGTAAGCAGATCTCCATCAACACACTCAACAACTAACATGATGCACGACATGTGAGCTCTATCACTGAATGCAGACACGCATACAGACACATGTGGAGCGGGAATGCCGTACAAATGTATCTGCGCGGGACCTTCCAAGCATACGCATCCGCTCACGGAGTCGGGTGTAAGTGTTACCCGTAGCTGGCCTACAGAGAAACTAACCCATTATGTCCACAACTCGCCAGCCTCATTAACGGCCCGCCCTACGCTTCACCAATAGCTCTTTCAGCTCAAGTTACGTTTCTTCAAGTCAGCAGACCCCTTATCAAACATGAATCATCCATCCAGCTGTCGGAAGCATGTTTTCATGGAGCGGGGGACAATGACAGTCGTTCTTGTTCCGGTTGCTAGCACCGGCAAGTGCGACAGTGACGTTAGTCGAGAATCAGACTATACGTCGGACGTGGCGGGTGCTTTGCGGGATACGCACATCTCTAAATACCTCTACACAACGTCCGTTGACATCGCACGCAGTGACGTATAGTACCAGACGAACGTGTGAAGCCTTCGCTGCCGTACCTTTCAGACATTTCGTACTATTACTAGATAAATGGGAATTTCTTCTTTTTAAAAAATAACAAAATGAAGGAATAAGCAAGGACGTCGCAACAGAAGGATCGAGGAGTACAAAGACGATATATGAGAGGAAAGACTGGAGTAGAGGCATACACAAAAAGGAATAATATACACCCACAGTTACAAAATATATCTGAGGATTTCAAGCGGTAAAAACAGTGAAGAAAATGATGTTACAATAATCCAGAACAAAGGACGCGAGACATGGTGGCGGCGTCCGTGTGGGTAACGAGGAATCCGTTAGGATATATGAAAGATGCGTCGTTCGAGAGCGCTGTGTCGCATAAACGGCTCCTTGGGAGCGGCCATCGAGGAGTGTTAACAGCAAGGGTCAAAACTGGCGTTTCATTCCGACCCCTGTTAATTCAATGGTGCGATGGCTCATCCCTTACGATCGGAAGTCCACTCGCTCCGCTCGCACTACGCTTTCGTCCCCCTGTTGATACTGACGCCTTGACGCCGGCGACTGGAGGGGGCACCGTTCCAGTCACATCTGCATTTCCAAAAGCTCCCTGTGCGTTGCCCGCGGAGGTAGAACTCAATGGATTCGAGCGTCTTGCGATTAATGCTCGCACAGCACTTAGCCACTTAATCTCCTCAGCTTCACTTGGTGCACACAACAACAACGGTCGCTTTGTAGTTACGATCTTGAACGTATATTTTGCGCCACTGAACCCGGTGTTCGCGGAGTCCATTTCGTGCCCATAGCTCTCGTCGCTGGCGGAAATGACGGGAGGCGAGATCGCGTTGGAACCTGAGTGGCTCTTGTCCTGGGATAAATCATATTCAAGGGCGTCGATAATCTGTGAGAGATCAATCGATCGACGAGGTTTCGAGTCCTAGAATCGAACAAAGTCGCACAAAGTATCAGTCCTGTGCCGTATTGAATGTAATGATAATGAGAACAAACCATATGACTAGCGCTATAGAATAAACCTTCGTTCGTCAAGACAAACCATCTCTTCCTCCATCCCCGGCGCTTCGAGCGACTCTTCATCAGATAGCCTGACAAAATTATTTTTGATGTATCCTTGCTCGTAGAGCCACCGACTTGAGTCTGAGTCTTTGACGGGGAAGCAGTAACATTGCCGACCGACTTTGGCACTTCACCTGCTGCCTGGTCTTCCGATTCTGAGTCAGAAGTCACAGGCCCGGCAGCAAATCCAATGCTACGAGCAGAAGGTGGAGACGGCGTGGTAGCACCCCCTACTACACCCGCGGTCGGAGAATGTGCAAAAGTGTTTTGACGAGATCCGCTTCCAGAGGCAGGAATAGCAATAGGGGTCGCAGTGGCACTGTTCTGGGTTGAGGTACCAAGCAGAGCTTCTCGAGCTGTGTTCACACGTCGTACCCAATCTTGCATCTCTTGCTCAGTGTCGGCCTGCAGATAGTAAGTCCGGCTGGGAGACACGAGAACAAAGCTATGTGAATGTCGCTTCAACTCCACAGGAGAGCAAGAATGGACATCTGAGAGGTCAAGAAGACGTAACAATTGATATTCGGCAGAATTTTTGTAGAACGCAAGGTGAGCAGGTCGGAGAACGAACCAGCGCTTCTTCCAAGTCTAACATACAATATTAGATGAGGTGGAACTTTGATCGCTCTGATGTATTATCACGGACCTTTCGCCGCTCGCCCTTTTTGTGCAAATAGCCAGTTTTTATGACACTGTCTTCATCAGGTCTGTGCGTTTGTGTGAGGTCAATCGAATGGCGTTCTTGTGCCCACTCCTCATCAGCCTCTTCGTTCTCATCCGATTCCTCGTCGGCACTTCCGCTTCTTCGTTCCGCAATAGAAGACAATGGTTTTGATGATACGCTAGTAGAAAGTCCGAGTGACATGCCATGACCGTGATTCTGTGCATGGCTGTGTGGGTGGCTAATCGCTTGAGGCTGCGAGCCTCCCGAGAAATAGCTACTGGCTAACGGAGAATGCTCCGGGGAGAAAAACGTGTCAGAATCGCTTTCCGTACCCGATAGGGCGGACGGTGAAAGCACATGGGGAGGCTGAATCTGCAGATGTTCAGGCAAAACAGCGCATCATTCAGTGATGCCGCGCCACCACGAAACAATCAAAGCAGACATACGGCGTGATGAACAGACCGGACAGCCAAGTCGAGGGCAATTGGACGGGACCGTCATTATTCCCAGCCAAAGTGCCGATCATGAAGTGCGTGTCAAACGTGCAGACAAGGGGCATGCGGTGCGCTAAGCAAGGTGCTTTGATGGAACGACAAGTAGACAAGTACGAACCTTAGCGGGCTTGTTGTGCACCGACAGTTTCCTTGTGATTTCTTGGGGCGTCGGAGGAGCAGCAGGACAGCCAGATCCTGGCTGGTTTTGGACAGACGACGACATCTAATGAGCCTCTGCTTGTGTATTTTCTTGCGATGAACGTCGACAGCGAGATGCAGTGGCTGCAGACTGAATTGAAGGCGCAACTATTGCAGTATTGCTTATGTAATACCAACTGTCTCCAAGAAACAAAAGCGAGCTCGCTTTCGTCCACCTTAATAATAGTGATGGCCGAGTTGGTGAATGATGATGGCTGGCAGTCGAGAGGAGTGGCAGCGACCTACGTGCTCGACGTAGACGACAACGACGACATGGAAAATAACCCTAACCAGATCAGACGATGCACGGGCAATCTCCGAATTTAGATAAGATATGCTGGACTGATCCCCACTCAGTTCTCGCTCTCATCTTCCAACACAACATTCATACTTATTTACTCTGCAACAAATGAGTTACGAGGCAAAATTCGTAAAGGCTGTCGAGATTGTTCAGGACCTCCCCAAGGACGGTCCGGTCAAACCGACACAGGACGAACAGCTCTACGTACGTTAACCCGTCGTATATCACCTCAACCCATTTGGCTTATCCCCATGATCTCATCGCTTGCCGTCCTCAGTTTTACAAGTATTACAAACAAGGCAAGTTGACTCAGAACATTTGAAATCCTCGTTTCTTCTTTTCGGCGATGTGTCCACTATTCGACTCGGCAATTTGATCGCAAACTGGCTATGCTTTGTTTTTTGTTGTGTGTTGCCGTGATTGACTCGCTTTCCTCTTTCGTTTAGTCACCGTTGGTGATGTTGACGTGCCTCGTCCCACTGGCCTCCTCGACTTTGCGGGAAAGGCTAAATGGCACGTACTTATCTGTCAATCCTGTGCAATTACATGTTCATGTGAATTTGGTGCAGGGATGCCTGGTCAGAGGTGAAGGGTACCCCCAAAGAGGAAGCACAGAAGCTTTATGTCGAAAAACTCTTAGAGGTTTGTTTGCTACGAGTGTCTCCCTTAAAACTAGACGAAAATACTCAATATATGTACCATTTTTCAATGCTGCTAGATTCTCGAGAAGGCTCCTAAGGAGTTCTCCGAAGAGTACATCAAGGCCATCAACGAGGCATAGAAAGTTCAATGTGTCTTTGTTTGGCAAAGTTATTCGCAAACGCCCGTGTATTGTAAAGCATCTTCAACGTCCTATAGACCAATCAAACTTCAGGTAGCAAACTAACAACCCACGTTCTCCTTACGCATGCCCGGAGGAGCCACCCTTAAGTCTTACCTAAACCACCGAAACTCCCATTCGTCCCTCTCTTATTCGCTTCACGTCTCATCCACAATACCTCGCGATCTCTTCGCAGAGGAGAGAAATGGTTAGGCCGATGCTCTGACGAGAACGACAATAACAAATGGCAAAATTTTATCACCGCTTCTCCCACCAAAAGATCTCTAGAACTCTGCCGATAAAACCGACATGCAGGGGTGTTGACTATATGCACTTACATGTCTACTAGTAAAGGGTCCCCTTCATGCGTATCCTCACCATTTTTCATTTCAGCAAGTTACATCAATTATGTCAAGCCCTGTATCAATGTATCACTGCGATACTGCTAGCGAGACACAAGGTACTACGCAAAGCACCATCCTAACTCTGAATCGGTTACACACAAATTAATGTTGCGTCGGACATATCCTTCACCCGTGGCTCACTGGGAACAAGATACGTTCTTGTGAGTTCATGACGTTTCAAGAATTGATCTTGATGGTAATGATACCTTTCTCTCTTACAAACTAAAAAAAGGTAAAGATATGATTGAAATACAATTTCACATCCCCTACTTAGACGTTGTCATGACTATTCACAAAGGCTCCGGCCTCCGGGATCACCAGACCAGAGAGATTGTACGTATGCATGCTCTGTACACTTCATCAATCAATATGGATCCCAGTGTCCCACAATACTTAACGGTTTCCAGTTCAGGCACTTAAGCGTGATCTCAGAAAAGAAGCATCGCTCGAGAAGTTGCACCGACGATCTTCCACCATAGTAATCGTCAACACGACCGTATCGGCAGACGGAGAAACAAGCTCTCGCTGTTATTCGCATGGAGACGACCGATGAGGACGGTTGATAGCTGATCCCGTGGACATAGATTTGCACTATAATCGTACACAGAGGGTCCGCGAAGCATGCGTTCTAAGGATCCACCATTATTTCCGTGAGATCTATCATGCTCGACAAGCACGGACCAGCCACGAAGCTCATAACGAACAAAATTCCATGCTTGTGGTACGGGAGCAGTACTGAGATTCTCACCAATTTCGTGCACCTCCCAATTTGAACGCAATAACACTGCTTTGAAACGCGACGGAGAAATAGTAGAGTCCGATGACATCCACATTTAGGCCACTAGATCCAGAATATGCATGTTCTCGATAACCCTCCGTTGGTTACACCCTAGACAAGCAACGGCGAACGGCACACGACGCTTGCCTTTGTTCTGATAGCTTTGCAATAGTGGCGTTGACAATATGTGAAATATCGGAATATCGAATACCAAATATCATAGTGGGGAAGGTACCCACATGAACGCCATCAAGGTGCGCCTCTATCAACTATGGAATCGTTGTGTTTCATTGATTAATATGCTGATTGAAGGCAATGATTTATTTTATTTTAGGCTCAACGAAAGCGAGTTTAGCCCAACGAAAGCAATCAAAGGATGAACAGCACACGAATCGATACATAGGTTATGAATCCGCGATCCTCTCTATTCATCGTTGGTTTCAATACGTAGTGACATTGATTTTCCAATACCATTTGCATAGCATGCAAAGGCTATACTGTTCATCATTCTTGTACCTCTGAATGTAGTAACTGACCTATAGGAATTAACGTCGCCATCTTAGTCTACTTGTTTTCCAGGGAGCGGTCCTATGCATCTTTGTTTGCAGGCCCGATCATTGATCAAGCTTTTGTCGGCGGATTAGGAAAATGTTCCTGTGTCAAGCAAGGCTCCAACGTATCCAGGGCATATTAATTCGTCTTTCTTCGCATCTGCTGCGGCGGGACAATTTGATATTACTTGGCCGCAGAAAACCCCAGTGATCTAGCGTAACTCTCCTCACAAGCAGTATTCCAACTTCCCTCTCCGTCCTTCAGCCTATTCTTTTCACAGAAACATCGATAACGTCATTCGCTCGAAGGCCTGAGACCCTGAATTCCTACTTCTAACGGAGCGGTAACATTGTAATTCGGCGGCTGGGGTACTAGGACTAGAAGGATCTACAAATACGTCTTGACTCGACCCTCATAGGTAGCCCCTAATGAGCACAGTAAGCCTGCTCTCCTGTTTTGTTTCTGTCTTTATCGAGCTCTGGGCGGGCCATTCCAGGATCGAAGCAGTGAGAAGGTCTAGAAACTCGCGTTACAACATATTGAGAAGGCGCATTACGAGATCTTGTGTATCCAGAATATCCATCATCCGCACTATTATCAGATGCTAGATGCACTGGCGTCTAGACGCATCCGGACGTATCGCACGTAATCCTTCCGGTCGTCGAGTCAATACCTTCCAGCATCCAAATTTACAAGTTCGTCCGAAAACATTTGGGAACCCCAGACAGCGCGCGTTGGACCACGCCACAAATTCTAGCGCATCCGCGAAGGATTTTCCAAGTGTTTAGAATATACGCTCGAGCGCCAGAACACTCACTAAGACCCGAGAGATCGCAATTTATCTTAAATCCTACTTTCCACATAGAATCCCACTCTTTCAATCTGAGGATCTCGTTCTCACCATTCGCGAAATCGATAACTAGAACCTCAATAAGTGCAGGAACGTCACTCCTCGGGAGACCCCGACATCTACAACATCCCCTCTCTGTTCTCTGCTTCACCAGCATGCACGACATGGCTTGAACCTTCCACGATTTCGATATCGGCGTCCTACAGCTCCGCCATTCTAGTCGAATTCTTGTACTTTCAAGAACCACGGCTCCTAAGCTACCCCCAAACCTAAGCAAACTTCCTATGGGAACTTGAATACTCAACTGCTTTAGTCCGACTCGGAATACTCTCTCAGCTAGACAGATACTCCCGTCTTTTTCCTCCCTACTTCCCTTTGTTCAACAAAAGTACGAAAATACAATTGATTAAGCCTTATTGATCGGCTCTACGTCACCTCCGTCTCTGTCGGCAATAACTTGTGAGGACTGAGTTCTCGAACGAAGAGAGCACTTGTATTTCCACACGCACATACCCTAGTCGGGTTCTAGATATTGCCAACTATACGGCGATACGACCCTTCCCTTTGGTCATGCACGCGGAAACCTGGAAACCCGATGAGTGTAATCTACAGCAAAACCCAATACGAATAATAGTGGCATCGTTATATTCATATTACGGTTATACTAGCATAGCCAATTTCCCGGAAATGAAGTACTTCTTTCCTCCTCGAACGAAAACGAACCGAAGGAACGAACCTTGAGCTTCTTATTCGGCAAAACCAAATATTCATTTCAATGATTCCAGTACGTCTCTTCTTGCTGACCCTATCCTGCGGAAACACCTGCGCGACACGAGTTACTCCTGAGGGCACGAGTGGTCCTTCCCCTCCTTACTCCCTAATCCTAATATCCCGAACAAGCAATCGCCTCCCAGGCCATGCATGCCTCGCACACTCAGCACATTCCTGAATATTGATAACGATCTGTTGGGTATAATGATTCACGGAAAACGATGTGATAGTGAAGGTGATTGCGCAGTATTCGAACCTCCACACTTCACATCCCGCATCTGCATCCGCATCACAGTGCAACATACGTGAAAACAGAACCACAAGCAAACTACGCACGAGTAACCAGAAAAAGGCAATCGCCTGATCATTATTCCCGTCTCAACACACCCAACAAAAAGGCCTCTCCAATTTCACAACATTAAAGCATAACGAAACACAAGAAACCCAACACAAGCATTACACGCGTACACCTTGCAAAGTTTCCCAGTTTAAGCAATCGCCTAAACATTCGTATTTTGTTAGAGAGGACCTCTGACTCTGCTCTTTGTCCTAAGATCCATTAACCTCGGTTCTTAGACATAATACAGAAACGAGTTCAAGCGTGCTGGCAGTTGGAAAGAGGTTCATGGAGAATCAAGAGCAAGGGCAGAATCGTCCAAATCAGGATTCTACTGATCACGTACCTTACATAAGTACTACTCATCTAATCGACTCTAGCCTTATGTCGTTTGGTCGCTGGATCGCACTACAAACCAGCACTGAGCAGCTATGTCATCTAAATGACATACATGTACTTATAACCGAAAAGACAACCAAACTCTTACTTTTGAGCGCTCATTTCAAATCGCAGAGAGTCAGAGACAACTAACTATAATGAAGCAGCGAACACAGGTTTTGCAAGCCTTCGTGATATTTTTTTTTGAACTCTGGCAAATCAACAGAAAGTAAAAAAATAAAAGACTAGCGTCTACCTGTAGCCAAATAAAATAAAGTCGTCGTTCATTCTATACACTACTTCCTACCTCACCGTAAAAGCACGAGAGGCTTTTAACATCAAAAGACATCAAGAAAAACAGAGCACAACCAAGAACCCATCCATCCTTCCTAATAGGCTTATCCTCCTTCTACCTCCAACCAACCAATCCATCAATCAAAGCAGACCAAGGAAATAGAGCAGAACAGAATGTTAAAAGGAAAAACAAAAACAAAAACATATACAAGCGTGTACATACATTATTACAATATCAATAGCAAAACAAGTCCTTGTATCTAACTAATATCATGACATGATGGGGCTCGTAACAGATTCGTGTGTGTATCAGAATCAGAATTAGAATCAGAACAGAAAAAAAATGAAGAAGTAGAATGTCTGTGTCGTAAGGAGGTCGTCAAGAGTGGTGTTTTCGAAGACGAAGAAGTGAAGAAGAAAAAGAGGAGGGGAAAGGGTAAACGAAATGTTGGAACGAGCAAGCACGGAACGTATTCAAGAAGGATCCATCCAACCAACCAACTAGTGAATGTGCATAAAGCCCAACAAGAAGGGAAGGGGGGGGGGGAAGGACCAGCAATAAAGATCATGAAAATTGAAAATTGAAAAAAAAAGCAAACAGAACTTGACTCAAAAACAGAACACGGAAAGACCGCAAAGGAGAAGAACAAAGCCCAACCCAAACCTCACGATTCAGAAACCCCACTAATCGACCCTCTCTCCCCATCCGGGTTCGCAACAAACAACTCCGGCCTCGTGACAAGCCCATACTTCACGTTCGACCGCGTTTTTCGTCTCCCGGGCGTCGGACTCTGCACCTGTCCTTGTCCTTGAGTTTGAGTTAAAGCGTAATCATGCGACCTAGGTGTCCTCGTCGGCGTCGAATTCGAATTATTATTGTTGTTATTGGAAGAAGAAGAAAGAGAAAGGGACGTAGAACTCGGAGAAGAAGCAGAAGGAGACGAGAATATCTCCAAAGACATCCTCCTCTCGTAATCCGCAACACGGGCAGCGACCGTACCAGGCGAGACGGGAGTCTTACCCTTTGATATCGAGCCTATTAGGGACGGTGGGAATGGTGGAGGTGGGGTAGATAGGAGGGAGGTGGATGCGGAGGATTGTGTTTGAGCTTTTGGTATGGCTCGAATTGAGCTCTCTACACCGTCAAGTCGATCGAACGAGGGAGCGACGATCTCGGTCGGGGACTGTACGATCCCTTCCTCGTTATCATCCCCAAACGGCGAAGTCAAAGAGAAATTCGCCTCTGCAATATCCAGCGTCCTGTCCGGTTCATAAGCTCCAAGGGAAGACCACGTCCCCTCCCTCTCATGTCCACTCCTCCCCTCACTTTCCACGAGACTCGCTGCATCACCAATAATACTCGACGTCGTAGTCCCAGTTGCCTCCCTCTGCGCAACGTCCACTCCCCTCCCTGCACCGAACAGCTTCTCAAGCTTCGCCGAGTCAGCCGTCCGACTCGTCTTCAAACTCGTCGTACTCTGCTCGTGTCCACTTGTCGAGTATATCCTCCTCCCTTCTCCTTTTTCTCCTTTCGAGGGTGTCTTCTCATGTCCTTGTCCCTGTCCTTGGTACCTTGGTGTTTGTCCTAAACCAACTAATCCCAGCGAGCCTATCAACTTCGAAGCAGTAGGCGAATCAGGAGACCCACTCGACCCCCCACTAGCCTCCTTAATCGCTCCCAACCGTCCAGGAGGAGGGTTCGGATCTCGGAAATCCAAGTCCATCCTCGTCCTCGACGTCGAAGCACTCCTCGCTTGGTCTTGTAAGCTATCTCGGAGCGACGTCGTTCGTTTAAACCTCGTCCACCACGAATCCGAGCGTTTCACGGGGCTCGACGGTACACCGACAATAGATCCACTGATGATTGATGTTGTTCGTGGTCGAGCACTATTGGGTGATGCAGGAGTTTGGTGGGAGGAGGTGGAAGTGGTGTGACCGCCACTGCTCCCGTCTAAAAGGGAAGACGACGTTGGCCCATTCGAGCTGCTTTGTGTACTCTTCGACGCGGTCGTTACGAGAGGAGGAAGTTGAGGGATGGCAGATGAATGGGATAAGGTAGATTGAGAAGAACGAGGATCCACTTCGCGTTGTCCTTGAAGAGGAGAAGGGGACGAAGGTCCAGCTTCGTCTAATGATCTCCGAGCAGACGCGTCGAACAGTACTACTCCTTCCTTCTCTCGATCCTGGTCCTGGTCACGGAATGGATCAGAATACTTCGACACATGCGAACTCTCCTGCCTTCCTCCTCTCGGCCTCGCAGCAAGCGCGATATCCCCTTCGTCGTCCGAAAGTCCTCCGGGCTCGTACGGATGATGACTCTTATCACTCAATAACAACCCTTCACTATCCTCATACGCATCAAACGGATCCAGAGGGAGGGAGACGTCCGTCCACTGTCTCCCATGTACCCGTCCCTTCGTACTCGCGCTTCCCCCACTGACGATACGCCTAACACCCGCACCCATATTCTTCAGAGACCCGCTGAAAATCCGCACGATAGAGGATCCACTCGACCCCGCACTCGCATATCGCTCATGTATAGATGGAGCATCGTGGACGCTATACCAACTCCTCGAACTCCCACTCCCAAACCTCCTCGCCCGATGCGCAACCCCCAATTCCGAAGCGTCTTCATTCGCAAGCATATCAATCCTCTGCCTAGGTCGTCCAAGTCCAAGTACAGTCCACCCCTCCTTCTTATCCGCCACGCGCGTCTTCTCACCTCTCGCTAACGCCCTTCGAGTCCTCAACCAAGGTAAGATCGCTATACCCGCAAGTTCCCAAGGCGCTGAAGGCGAAGCTCCGTCAGGACTCTGCTGCTCGTCGTCGTTCTGTATAAGATGGAATTGCTGCTCGCGTGCGCGTCGGCGACGAATGATGACGACGACGAGGAACCCAGCAGCTAGTGCAACTGCTAACACACTAAATATACTCGCAACGACGATAGTAGCAGTATGTTTCTCTCCATCGCCGTTTCCATCTCCGCCGTTTGGATCGGATCCGGTGGGTGAGGAGCCTGGACGAGTTCCTGTGCCAGTAGGATTTGAGCCGCCAGAACCGTTAGGACCTCCTGGTGAGGAACCACCCGTGCCTCCAGGGACGGGAAGTGTAGTGAGCGAAGGACCGGACTGAGGTGAGAAGGATGACGTGAAGGAGCCTTTGTCAAAGTCGAACACAGAAAGTGCGACAGGTGCACCCGCGTTCGTCCCATAGCCTGCAATACAACATAAGAGCATATACCACCAAATATTAGATATTGATTAATTGTATGATTGGATGTATGCACATAGAAGAGAGAATACGCACCAAAACCAAAAACAACCTGACTCCCAACCTGTACCGCAAAATGATCCCTCCTCGCTCCAAGCTGCGTCAACGCAGACACATTCGACCACTTCATCGGGCTCGCCTTCGTATCCAACACCCACCCATCACTCAAACTCGTCTGAAACTGAGCGTCCGACCCACCATGTATCAACAATTTATCTCCCTCAAGCCACGTATACGCAAACGCTCTTCGTCCACCGGGCACACCACTCCCAGAATCAACACTCTCCAACTTCCAAGTTAAAGTCGCCTGCGTCGTATCGATACTCCAAATCGTCGTGAACGGCACAAGACTCCCCTCACTCTGCGAATACCCACCCAACACCAGCACCCTCCCATCCGAAAGTACGACCGATCCATGTCCATATATATCCGGAGGCCCATTCTCACTAGGTAATTTCGTGAAACTCGGAACGCTCGGGTCGAAGACATAATGATCTGAATAACCCAACGAAGAACCATCGTCCTTCTCCCCTCCAACCAAATACACCTTCCCACCAACCGAAGCAGTCGTATGATGTATCCTCCTACTCGGCTCACCTGCCCATCCCTCCTGTTCCATAATCCACTCCGAAGTCTGCGTATTGATATTGCTAACATCCAACAAAGCTGCAGAGTTCGCCTGACTCGGCAACACAATCGGCGAGTTCGGCCCTCCATCCCCACCGAACAACAGCATCTGGCTCGTATTATACGCAGCAAGACTATGCCAAGCAAGCTCCTGCCCCTGATTCGTCGATGTATTCTGCGATCCGGATATATACCTCCAAGGCGGAGAAGTAGGGTCAAAGCTACTCGATAAGTCCAAAGTGAAGAGATCGTTCGTCGTTGGCGCCGACGTGTACGAATACGAGCCAAATTGGTCCGTCTTGCCTCCCGAGACGAATAACACGTTATTAACTACTGCAGTTGCTTGACCCCATCTTACTCAATTATTAACAACAATTATTTTGACTGGAAAGAGTATAGCGAAGCGTACCTTGGCTGAGAAGTAAACTGCCCCCAAACCAACCGCGCACAAAGCAAGATGTAAAGATGTCGCAGTCCCGAACGAAACAGGAAAGGGGTAGTAGTCGAGCGTAGATGAACAGAGCGCGTCATAAGCTAATCGTAAATAACCAGCAGTCGCTCATAAACAATCCAGACAGCAATAGCAGAGCCTAGTAATCATGGACCTCGTTGATAGTCAGTGGTTGTGGTCCAAGGGATGGTTGAAATTGATCGTGACGACGGATAAAGTAATAATGGAATGCTGCGGGACGTGGAGAGTGTAAATGAGAGGGGCTGATTACTCGGCGGCAAACTTAGACATCCCATTTGATTTGGTCAACTCCTTCCGCAATTGGACCAGTACACTGCCACGCACGCGTCACTCCGTCCCTGTTCTAGATCACGAATTATGTCAATGCTAAAGCGTATTCGATCAGGAAATTGCTATCCTATTGTATCGTACACATAGCACAAGAAAGCAAGAGACTTGACTATTCAGAACAATATACAAAAATAAACGAAAACAATATTAATTCAAAAAGGCGAATAAAACCAATGATCATGTTTAATTATAAACAAGGAACAGACAGACGGAGATATCACCCCGTCCGTGCCGACAATCGTCTCGCTATTCTGCTCACAGGCACAACTTCCGGTATTTCTTCATCAGACGAAGAATCATCCACATCCACATCCTCCAACCCTTCCACACTGCCTTCTCCCATAACAGCAGATGGGCCTCCCGCTCCACCAAATGCAATAAATCCGCGCTTCCGACTACGCGTTCCGAGTCCTGAGAACGTGTCCGGTTCGTCGTCGTCTAAAACCTCTGCATCGTACGTAGCTTCCGCTCGTCGCAACTCCGAATCTAACGAGTCTCTTCTTCGAAGCGAAGCTGTTCCAGATGAGGCGTTGTTGGACGAACTACGCACAGTCGACTTCGATCGACCCTTTTGCAAGCCTTTATGCACAGGTAACCGCGTTGGGCGAACAGCCTTCTGAATTGCCGGCTTGAACATACCGGGAGGAGGTCGTAAAGGCAGACGAAGCGGTGGACTCTCAGGCGCGTCTGCTTGACGAACATCTTGCACTTGCTCCTCTTGCTCGTCAACCTGGATATACGAAGATGGCTCGGCAGAGGCAAACGACAAAGATATTGGATCCATATCTTCGTCGTCTCCTTCCTCGTGCTGGCTAACCTCCTTCACCATTCGTGCTCGTGCAGGAGCTCGAGGCCTACGAGGAGAATCAAGCTTCCGGGAGACAGGCTGTCTTCGTGTAAACGAGTCATCCATTTGGGACGCCTCGAGAACTCTTCGAGCTGGTTGCGACTTCCTCTGTTGCTGTTCGGACCGATATCTCTCCATCCCAATCTCCTCGACCTCCCCAGCATCGTTATGAATATCGGGAAGTATCACCCTCTCATGAATAACGTCCCCAGTGCTCGTATTTTCTCTATGCTCTGAGGCTGAAGGTGGAGGCGTCGGCGGTGAGCGATCTTCGTTACTCCTCCCACTATCCTGTTCGTTGTCTGAACACAAGGATGGGGTTCCCATACCTATTCGCACTTCTGCTAAGTGATGTAACCGTGAAGTAGCGTCCATTGAAGGGCCGGATGACTGCGATGAGTTGGATACAGGAGCCGTTCGACTTGCGATATCTGTGGGATTAGGCAACCTGGTGTTCTTCGTTGAGGAAGATGGAGGTCGAATAGAAGAGACACTAGAAGTCTCTCTTGCATGCACCGAGGACGACAAAGCCCGCCGTTTAGAAGCTAAATAAGGACAAATCAGCACATCATCCCATTTCGCAATCCAATATGTAAACTCACGTAGTGGGTCTTCTGCCGCCTCAGAAGCTCCTGGCTGTTTCCTCTTACTACCAACCGGAACATCTCTCCCTGGGTCCGCTGATTCGCCGACCTCCCTGGTTGATTCTGCTCTCCGAACCTGCCTGGAGGGACCAGCGAAAGCAAAACTCCTCTCCGGCCTCGGTAACATCTCAGACCTATTCCCAACATCCTCAATCTCCCTCGGCCTCAACACAACCTCCGACCGATTCCCAACATCTCCAACCTCTCTCACCCTCACAGCGGGCTGCGAACGCGACGAGGACGACGGCATCGTAGACGTTTCATCAGCATTTCCGATTTTCCGCAGCCTATGTGTTTTCATTTCAGTTAAGAACGCAGCCATCATGTCAGCTCCGACGATCGTTGGTTGGCCCTTTCGAACGGAAGGTCCACCATATGCAGCTGGGTTAATTGGTTTCTCGACAGGTGTCCCGGCGTGTCGAAGAGAAGCACGAACATCAGCGAACGTTTGTTCTTGTTGATTCATCGTTTGCGGACGTGAAAAGACTGGAGGTGGGGGAGGCGGTGGCGGTGGTGGAGCGATATTGGATTGAGTAACAACAGGTCTCCTTGCCAGCTAATGAAATCAAATGATTAGCATTAAAAACCAGATTCGAACAAAAATAACAAACCTCTTCCCGGAGTTTCCTGAGTTCCTCTTCTAGGATCCGGATCCTCTCTTTATCCCGCGTTCTTTCATCGTCATTCGCGAGTGATCGAGATTCCCTTTCTTGTCGTCTCGCAGTGTGAAGCTCCCGTTCCTTTCCCTTCACCCTTGTCGTGACGGATATATCAGCTCGGGAGGAACGATTGTGTTCATCCTCCGAACTTGACTCTTCCTCGGAATCATCTACATTAATTACTTCGGCTTCGGGAAGGACAGGCGCCTTGCCTTTTCCCTTGTTGGGAGACGACCAAGTTGCAGGAGCGGGAGATTGAGGAAGTAACAGTGAAACGTCCGGGTTCTTGTCTGCAGATCTTTGACGAACTGCTTCTTGTACAAACCTGCCCATGCCACGAGAAGGTCGCTTCGTAGGCGAAGATGACGGTCCTTCTTCATTCTCTGAAGATTCTTCAGCAGGGAACAAGTCTTGTGCACGTTGTTCAGGGTTTGAACTTTGCCGACGGCCAGAAGATGGACCCGCTTCCATTTCTTCAATTTGATGCGCTGGGCGTGGAGTTTCCGATAACCTTCGAGAAGGCGAGACGGACACCTCAGATGCAAATCTGACAACTCGCGTTCTTTCAAAGTCTGGTTCGGGTGTAGGTTCGAGTGATGAGGTTCGGTCATACAGGGCACCAGGCATCGTGAAGGCAGAGCGTTTTCGGCGTATCCGAGCAGGAGAGGGGGAAGGTACGGGTGTAAGGGATCTGTCTGATCCTGATAGTCCTTCTAATATAAACGAGAAGGATCGTTAGTATATGCAGAAAGTTTTAAACACGGGTATAGACCAGCAGCGTTTTGAATAGTATGAAAAACCTGGTCTTGTGCCATCACACTTGCCTTCTTCATCGTCCGGATGTGCTGGTTGTCTACGAGCAGGACGCGGCGTCAAGGGACTCGAAGCAATACGCTTTGTTCCCTTGTTGCCCTCATCTTCACTACTACTGGCGTATTGATCATGCCGCGCATTTCGTGCAAAACGGTGAGAAGCGAGACCGGGTGAACGCAGATTGACGCGTGACGTTTTACGTCCATTTGTTTTCCCTTCCCGAGGTAGTCGATGAACCACACGAGTCGTGTCTTTGGACACCTCCCGCATTTCAGGTTGGCTCCTTGACGACGAAGCACGCGGTCCATCCTCTTCCTCCTCATCGTCATCTTCCTCTTCTTCAAACTCGTCCTATATCACACCATATCAACATTGGCACATCCAACCTGCAACACTCAACTCAAGAGACGCACCTCGGGCACCCGTCCAGTCGCAGTACTCACGAACGAGTCGATCTCCCGTGACACGAAACTAAACACACTCGATAACAGACTCGTCGTCTGTTCTTTCTCCTTCTCCTTCCCCTTCGCGCGTTTCAAACTCGACGTTGATGTAATTCTCGCATGTCGGGAATGCGCGTGCTGGCGTGGCATGGTTTAATTTCGCGATCCGCTCCGCTCCCCAACCCGTCGTGGTTCGTGGCTTGCACAAAATCCAGGCCCACAAAGCAAGCTCGTTACGCGCCGAAAACCAAGAAAACCAAGAAAAGCGCGTTAAACGCCAGTCCAAGATATCCAGGACTTGAATAAATGCTGGTCGGGGTGTAAGAAATGGTTGAGGTGGAATTAGTTGCGTCTGTCACACGTCACGCTTCTAGATCGGAACAAGAACCACACGCGGGGCTGATTACATTTCTACCACGACCTTGTTGTACACTCTTACAGTTACTTACTCTTCATTTATCTTTTTGTCGACCACTGTAACATTATAACCTTTTAATCATAATGGAAATAATCAAGAATAGCTCTACTTCCTTTGGCGTACCTCAAGACGTCTTCGATAAGCTCTCGTCAAAGTCTCAAACGGCTATCGCGCGGCTGTTGGTCCACAAGCCAGAATCCTTTGACCTGTCTGTCCTTATCTACTTATTGGCTTAATCTGCTTGTGCTCATGCTGTTCTTTGGCGTTCTGCGTCTACTCTCTACTCTGGAAACTGCACTCGACCGAAATGGTTTCTTGAATGGACGAACTTACTGAAGTACGAAGTATCCTACAACGAAACTAGCAGCTGTCCTCGTCCTGTTATACGAAAAGCCCGAGGATAAAGAGCTCTACGTCCTCCTCACCACACGCTCCAAGAAACTTCGCTCACACCCAGGTCAAACCGCTCTCCCAGGCGGGAAATGCGAAGATTCCGATGCGGATGTTATTGAGACAGCTGTAAGCTCTTTCATCGTCTCCCACCATCTCGACATCGAGCCTCTTATCTCTGGGTCGTAATTGCCTCGTGCATACTAGTACCGAGAAGCCGCTGAAGAAGTCGCCCTACCTTTACATTCCTCATCCATCCACGCACTCTGCATCCTCCGACCCTGGCTCTCCAAATACCGTCTCCTCGTCACACCCGTTGTCACACTCCTCTCTGACCTCAGCGTACTCGACACCCTCGTTCCTTCCGATGGCGAGGTCGAGGCCATTTTCGAACATCCACTGGAAGCGGTTCTGGATCCGGAGTTGGTTCTGGCGAGGAACTTGTGGCTGGCGGAGACAGGTGGAGAGCATTGGCCTTATGAAGAGGAGTTATATGTGAGTGAATCGAGTGTTCCGTGTCGATATGCTGCTTATTTATATATTTTACTTGCCTGTATGCGGAATAGAATCATTCCGATACACAATACTCTCCTGACGCAGCGTACAGAATGCATCGTTTTCGAACTAGTGCATCACCTATTAAGGGTCTAACATCCGACATCCTCGTATGTCCACTTTTCTGTCCTCTTCATTTACACCTCCGTCACTCTACATCCGACTCTTTCCTGTCGCCTCATTCTCTCCTAATGCACAAACTCAAATCATCACCTCCCCCTCGCCACCAGATAATGACAGCAGAACTCGCCTACGCCCGCTCACCAACCTACCCCCGCTGGGCACCAGGCCAAGCAACCTCCTTCGCAGGTATCGCACAAATCCTCGAACGCGAGCGCGAGGCACACGAAGCCGCCATCTTACACAAGAAAACTCTCGGTACTGGGATCTTGAATGGTTTAGGAGATGGAAATGGAGGGGAAGAAAGTAAACACGCCTCGCGCGAGCATTTACCTGCTGTATAAAGTAAAGATCAAAGGATGTTGCAAGTGGAAGATTTTGGTGTATTGACTTTGCCTTTCTAGATATCTCTCAATTTTTGGGTCCCAGAAATTACCAGATGAATATTGGAGGCTGATAATATGTGTGTATTTGACTCTCCAGACCCGTACATGCAGTTGTCAACATTTAATCGAGGGTCATCTCATTGCCAGGCTATGTCTACATCACAAAGTACAAAATTGACAGTATTGCAAACGACTCGAATGCTTTTCATTTCTCTCAATCCTTTGAGACGACCTGTGCTCATCTATGAAGAGCCAACAGTCTCTAAAGAACTAATTTCGCCATCCGGGACCAGGGAAGGTTCGTCGTGGAAGATTGCAGGATTCGGTGTAAAGTTCATCGACTCGATCTGAGCTGAGACCTCAGCAGCGCGTTGCCTGCTGTCGACTCGCCGAATTTGCAAGAGAAGACGGTTGCTTATAACGCAGCAGAGAACTCCTTCTAGGCTAGAATCGAAGATTCAGTTTTGATATTTATAGTCAGAAATCACTAGATTATACGTCAAGAAGATGCCATTCAAAGGGGTCTGTTTTACAGTAGTGTCAGCAAAAAGTTGCAAATGTGCTGGCTGTATGTTGCACCGGTTCAGAGAGTAGTAGCATCATGTTTATGAATGCCACAGCTGTAGTTTAGATGCCGTTGTTAATCCAAAATGGGACACGTGTTTCTAAACAGGGGCTCACAGATCACACTCAAGAAGTACATTGCTCCTATGCGTGTTTACTCGATATTAGTCACAATAGATCCAAGCAATCAAAGGATTACAGACCTCCAGTGAGCAGTTCCTTCAAGAGAGTACCAAACGACTTTGAATCACGATCTGGGCCCATTCAGTGAATGTTCAATGAACAATGAAAAAATACAACCAAATTACAATAGATTACAGCCCTTGTTAGTAGAAGGCCAAATGCGACTTATGGGTGGGAGGGAAGGAAGAGTAAAGGGTAATCTGAGCAGACTTCCAGGGAGATGATATGATATCGAACGACTCACCTGTCGCACTACAAACGAGGATAAGGTATGCTATCCACACATTTTTGTAGTTGTTGATACAACCACACCTGGAATTGAATACACGAATAGGAGGAGCTAGTGTTGTAGGTTAATTTTACTTACTATCAAAGGGAGGTGTGAAGAGAGAAGGCACACAAGAACAAGGGGCAAGGTGACAATTGACTGCTCAGTGTCTCTTGTCCTTATATTGTATGTATTCTAACTGAGACATTATGAAGTCATTGTCTTGTGATAAACTCATCATCTTGTGATACTCCCCTTCAAACTCTTACTAGTCTGAGTAAACTGGTAAGATGTTTGACTTGTGGTACATATAGTGCTTTTGTTAATATATCTGCTCTTTGATTGTTTGTCTGTATGTATTTTGCATTTATGTACTCTAACTCAATATAGCATTTAATAAAATCTTTCTTATAATCTAAATGCTTTGTCTGTTCTAAGTATTTGAGTTTGTCTGATGTAACTGTTTGTATGACAGTGTCATTATCACAATAAATATTAATTGGTGCTTCAGAGACCTGCAGAATCTCTTCATCTAAATGAGTAGTGTGATTGCTTCTTGTGTTCCTCTTACAAGAGCTATTAATTCAGCTTTATACATTGAATTTGCTACTAGTGTTTGTCTTTTACTTGGCTACAAAACTAATGAATTGCTCAAGTAAAATGCATATCCTGATATTGTACAATGCCCTTCTTGCATCATACTGTCTACATCTGTATATGTTAACATTTATTTCAGATAAATGTGTCATATGTCTCAAATCATGCAAACGTCTTGCAAATATACACTATTGCTGAGACATGTCTTCTGAGACATACATCCAAGACATACAATATTAGATAGTATATAATACATTAATCTAAGGACAATGAAGCTCATTACAAACCATGCAGTCAACTTGTATTGACACCTACACACTATGAGCAGAGTCCACTAAACCCCTACTAGTGTGACTAACTCTTAGTATCCTTGTGAGCAGTGTGCAAACCTACAGAAGAATATTTCCTATTGTTTAGGAAACATTGCAACCTCAACACACTAACAGGTTATGAGCCTTACACTCCCTGCTCATATCTACATTGTTACTATACTTTTATCTTACCCTCTACAAACACAACACTTCAAAATCATCATCTCTACAATTATGATTTCCCCCTCAGTAGTTATATGCATGACTATATACACCACAATTGTCATCTCAAATGCTTCAGTGTACTATACACCATAGTACAAATGACTAGATACACTCAATTGTGTTATACTTGATAAGTAACATCGAACTACTTTATTTAATGCTGAATCCACTTGATTCTACATGTATGATCTATTCTACTCGTCTACAAACCTTTGGCACTCCCATCTGAGCATACCAAATGCAAATTGTCTTGTCCTGAAGACTACAATTGCTTTATATAACAAGATATGCTACAATACTTGTAACCAGAACATACTATCTACAAGGACCTAGACACACCTGTCTAAGCATCCCAAACGTGCATTGATTTATTAAAATAACTTTGGACAGATTAGTTACTTTAAATACAATGAATACCCAGTGATACTATATCCAAACACTGAATTACTTCATCTTACACTACAGAGATATGTTATAATAATAACATCTCACATAACAAACAAACATTTGATATTATATTAATAATACAAATGATTAATACTATAAATGAAAGAATAATGCTAGCAAAGCATAATAATAATATAAAGAAATACTATTGTGAATGTACAATCAATCTAATAATGATTAGACAAACAAATAATATGAAAATGAGAGTATAAATGCAACTAAAGTATAATAACTCAAATATAAAAACGATTTATACTATCATGAACACACTGTCACAATAAATAACATATATTTACCATATACAAATATATCACATAGATATACGAATGTATACAATGAAATAATAAAATATATTGCATAGATATACAAATATACAAACGTACAAAGTAATAATAATGTATTTGAACACATAAAACTATTATTTATTAAATAACACAAAGTTATATGCAAATGCAATCAAACGAACAATAGTTACAAATACATTGTAACAATATAATGTATCAATAAGATATACATGATAACAAAGTATTAAGTCAATACAATTAATACAAACAGTTTAAACAATATAAACATATTTCAGACACATTGAAAAACTATCATTAACATACAAAATGTTATAAACAATTAAACGTCACTTAAAAACTTGACAATAATACAGACACAAAACAAAATAACTAATGCCTTGAAAACATTAGAGCCTAACATTGGATAGTCTAAAGGGCCAAGTGATGGAAAGAACACTGCTGCCAAGTACACAAAAGACAAACAAATGTTGGAACAAAATCCAAAAGAAACAAACATAAGTTTGGAACTCAATCAGATGCTTTACTAATAATTAAACACAATGTGTGATGGATTTAATTGATTACTACAAACGGCAGAAAGATATTTATTCACAAAGAATATATCTATGATCAATAAATAACAAATATCATTAACTATTTGAAGTTCAAATGATATCATAACAGTGTATTCTTCATTAACAGCCTTACTTGAAGCTTACACCCATTACAAAAGAATAAAGATTAATAAACAAAACAGAAACGAAACACAATAGCTTAAATACTTTTGTTATCAAATGGAAGACAAATGATACTGAGCAAAACGAAATAATGCACTACTCAATGTATGCAAATATAACAAACAAAATATGCAAACTTAACATTGCTAAACAATACAATGGATTATATTTATCCAAATAACAAACTATTTGGATGTACACATAACAATCAAACAAAATACACAAGCATACATGCAATCTATTTGAGTATAAACTCAAATAACATTCAGTATAATGCTAAAAAGAATTAATAACTAAATCAGACAAAGATAACAAATAACATTGAAATTATTCAACAAAACACATTCACACATTCACATACAATGCTTAAACAAATAATAGAATAACAAAAACGTATGAATGAATCAATTATACACAAAAGCCAATTACTACTCAAAGCAAACCTTCTCAAATTGAAGGGGAGTAATAACAGTATATATTCACAAAACATAAAACATAACAAATGATTGATTGAAACATAGTGAACAATTAAATGATGCAGAAATATTGACTATGTCACTATTTAATGTTGTACATCCCACAAAACACAATTATAAAGTTATTGTAACAAATTCAAAGCAAATCTGTTGAATCTGACAAGTGAATCCAATGAATCCAACAATAATATACCTATATAAGAGACATTTTCTCTAAAATCTTTGATGGTCATACTATACATAACACTATTGAACATATTACAAACAAATATACTATGGATTATATACCTAAATACAGAGAAGTATACTACATACAACAATGTTGAGCAGAAAAGCATCTCTGGTGTATAACAAACTGTAAGGATTTGATTCACTGGTTTGTATTTTATTATTACTACATTACTGATTGTGTCAGATCATTACACAGTAGGACCCACAAGCACATATATTCTCATTGTAGTTAGTTACACTTCCTCCTCATGTATCTACACATGTATACCCTTATAAAAGACAGTATTAACTGCTGGGTAAAGGGGATTCTTTTCCCCTGACCCCTCACTTGAGTACTAGGTTATCCTAGTCAGTAGTTGAGTGAACTAAGAGCAATTAGAATTCTCTTGTGAGGAACAGTGAGTTTCCTTACATATTTTTGACTGTACCCACCTAGCACTGAAACCCCTTGCTAGATGCTGAGGAACCAAAGGGTCTGATCAACCCTAGGTCTCCCTCATTGTCTAGTACCCCTCAGGAATTTTTAGTGAGTAAAGTTACAATTTTCGAGTAGAAACAGAGACTACTTACTAGATTAGCCCCTAGTAGGTTCACAATGCTTTGGAACACTATAGAATGCTTCTAGAACACATTAACACATATTAATATAGACTAGTACTAGATACACTAGAGGTTTGTATTGATTGGATGGGTTGAGGACCAGGCATCCATAACAGTAAAAAGGAACAAACAGGTGTACATTTGAATCCTCAAACTTGACCTTCTGTACTTGATTGGACAAATCCTTGAATCTAATTGCCTGAGTGTTTCTACTCTTTGTACTACTATTTACTATTCCTGTAAGCCTAGTAGTGTGAGTACTCACTAGTTTCTGCTCTACAGTATGCATTTGACTAACTATATGTGCTGGTACAATTACATACCTTAATTCTACATTATTAGTATGTACTAGTTCATTAGAGTGCCTCCAGCCTTATGTAGACAAGGACTTATCACCTGGAATAAGTTCATTAGGTTGCCTCCAGCCTACAAGGGATAAGGACTTACTTCCTAGCATGTTAGTATCAATATCTAGACTTGGGTACTCTCTAGGAATCATCAGTCAAGGCTCAGTAGCCACATTGTCATCAATATTCAATGGATAATCTTGTTGTCTATTGCCTGTAAACTCACTCACTAAGTACAGGCAATTGAGCTTGAGGATTTACTCTATCAATTTCAGACTACTGAGTTTGAGGATTCACTTGATAGAGGACAGGTGATTTGGTTTGAGGATTCACCAAGTCAATATAGAGAGCTAACAGTAAGCATCAAGGAATTTGCAAGCTAGTACAAGAGTTACAGAGTGTATATAGTTAGTATTAGTGAGAGTGTAGATAAGTATCCAGTGAGTGTACTTACTTCAGAATAGAAACACATTAACAACAGTAATGTAGAGGGTAATAAGACATCTAAGACCCTTTTCAGTAGTAAAGAAAGTAGCCAGGACTCAAAGAACAAGAGTA